CCTGTTGCAACGCACCAAAGCACACAAATACATTTAAGTGTGTGCGTAAATCAGTCCCAAACAGATGCGGGTACTCTTAGAACATTTGGACATTTGGAAGAGGGCCAATGTGGTGCCTATCTTCAAGAAAGGAAAGAGGGATGACCCTGCAAGCTATAGACCGGTCAGTCTGACTTCAATCCTGGGAAAAATCTTTGAAAAAATTGTTAAGGAGGCCATCAATTACAAGCTCGTAACTGGTAAGGTATTAAGAAGCAACCAGCATGGCTTTGTTGAGGATAGATCATGCCTGACAAGCCCAGTGTCCATTTATGAGCAGGTAACTAACTAGCTGGACAAGGGACAGGAGGTTGACGTCATTTACTTAGACTTCAGTAAAGCCTTTGATTCTGTTTCCCATGAGATTATCTCAGTTATATTGGAGGGTACTGGCCTAAACCAGCCTACAGTGAGATGGGTGGACACCTGGCTTAGAGGCCCACCCCAGAGAGTTGTAATCAATGAGGTGGCCTCATCCTGGAGGGCCATCTCCAGTGGTGTCCCCCAGAGATCGGTGCTTGGAGCTGTGCTCTTTAACCTATTTATTAATGGCTTGGATGAGGGGGTAGAAAGCTCAGTGATTAAGTTTGTGGATGATACCAAGCTATGGGGAAACATGGGCACATCAGGGGATAAGGTAAGGATCCAGGATGACCTTGATAGACTGGTTTTACGGGCTGAATGGGATCAGATGAGGTTTAATGGGGAAAAGCACCGGGTCCTTCATCTGGGCAGGAAGAACCCTCACCACAACTACATGATGGGTGGTGGGCTGCTGGTTGGCACCGCATCTGAACAGGACCTGGGGGTCATGATCAACCAAAAGTAAACATGAGCCAGCAGTTTATCATCCTTATCGCCAGTGCGATGAGGTTCCCAGCAAGGCAAATACAGCTGATGTGTGGCCAATAGATCCACGGAGGTGCACCTCCCTCTTTTTTTTGGCGCTGGTGAGGCCACAGCTGGAGTACTGTGTCCAGGGCACTGCACTTCAGGAAGGACGTGGATGAGCTCAAGAGGGTACAAAGAAGGGCCACCCGTATGATTAGGGACCTGGAGGATAGTCCCTATGAGGAGGGACTCCAGGAACTGGGCCTGTTCAGTCTGGGTAAGAGAAGACTGAGGTATGAGCTGATAGCCGCCTACAAGTACGTCAGGGGAGAGCACCAAGATCTAGGGGAGCAGCTCTTCAGGAAGGCACTCCTTGGGAGGATGAAGACCAATGGGCACAAGCTAATAGAGAGAAAATTTGAGCTGGACATAAGGAAAAACTTCTTCTCCGTAAGGGTAACTGGAATCTGGAACACGGTCCCAGCAGGGCTGGTGCAGTCGCCGTCCTTGGAGGTGTTCAAGAGGAGGCTGGATAAGCCCCTTGTTGAGCTCGTTTGAGCCCAATAACCTCCTGCCCATGGCAGGGGACTGGACTTGATCTTACAGGTCCCTTCCGGTCCTTCAATCCTATGATGCTAAATCTACCAATGCCATTTGCCGCATTGGGGTGGATATCATCAGGGAGAAGGCAGTTCAGCTTTCCACCATGTCAGAGCCCAAGTGCAAATGGGGTCAAAGCCTGCGCCTGGACAGCTTGAAGGAGCCTTTTATTCACGGGGGCTTTGAGAAAGGAAATGTATCCTGCTGAGAGGCTGTTCGGTGCCTGCTTGTGTATTGACCTAGATGATCAGAGCATCATCTAAGCTGTGGGCATTGTGGCACGTGGCAGGAACTTCCTGGAAGCTAATTTCACTTGTGAGGTTGGAGGTTTTGCAGATCATCACTGCTAGGGCAAATAGCAGTGCAGCAAACTGCATTGCTGCTGTAATGGGAAGGTGGCAGGGTTTTTTCCCTCCGGGCCTGATGACAGGAAAATGCCAGCTGGGATGGCTTGTGCGTGTCTGGTTCAGTGTGTGCTTTCCCTGGCCAATCCCTTGTTTATTCCTCACTGTCTCATCTCCAGCAAGTCCTGTATGGGGCTTTCTTTCCCTCCCTACCAAGGAGGAGACAATTTCCACGAGCCATGCTTTTCCAGATGACAATCAGAAGTCATGTCTGCATAAGCAAGGGGCATTGGTTTGACCTGTGGGGTGAATAGATCTGGTGCATTTGGTGCCTAAACTGTAAGGTCTCTCCTCCTGTTATTGCAAGAGGTGCTTAAAGCAATCTTCAAATGGAAACTTCCACAAGGGTTTGACCTGGTTCGGCTAAAGCAGTGCAAGGGGGTGCGTGCGTGGGCAGACCCTCTGCCCCAGAAGGGTGACTCAGTAGGTGACATTTGTGTGAAAATGAAGAGAAACATGAAGTTAGATTGAGCAGGTTCGTTTTTAGACCAAGTGCACCGCTGCCATAGCTAAGGTGGGGGGACGCATTGACTGGGGAAGGCTGATGCTCCTGCCAGGACTTAGAAAACCCAGAGGTTCCTTCCTAAAGGGTCTTGCTCTTCTGCTTGGGGACCTGCCAGTCACCAGGTTTGGGGTCAGGAAGGAATTTTCCCCCTTGGTCAGACTGGCATGAAGCCAGGCAGAAGGCAGTAGTACCCTGGTGCCTTTACAGTCTGGCATGGACAGCAGGGTTTTGCTTTCCTCTGTAGTGTGAGACCTGGTCCTCTCCCCAGGGTCCTTTTTGGCCATTGCAAGTGGCAGGGTGTAGTGCTTGCCCTGCTCTTGTCTACAGTCTATTGTAGGGTGTTTTTGGTGTTCCTGGCTTTGTGCCTGCTAGCGTTTGCCTTTGCATGCCCAGGGCTGGACCCAATACCCTGGGAGGTCCCTCTCAGTCCTGTATTCCCATGACATCAGCTGCCTGTTGGATGTGGGTCAGTTAGATATGGGGTGCATGTGGTAACGGGGAGGGTATAGCTAGCACACGCCCCGAATGCTGGGTGCAAACCTGGTGTGACTGCATGCCAAGGGCATAGAGGTGTGGAGGAGGTAGCTAAGGAAGGGTGTTACGTTAAGCAAACTTCCTACTGTAAGAGCCTTGGATTGAGCCAAGTTTGGTTCAGAGCATCCCCCAAAGCTGGGGGTTGGAGGGCAGGTGAGGCACTGCTGTCTCCTTGCTCCTCCATGGCTGGAAGAGCCAGAGCCTGATTCACCTTCCCCTGAGCAGTATTGCCCAGAGCTGGTCCAAGTTACCTTTCCCATGCACCACCCCACATTGCTGCCATGCAAGGCCGTCCAGCGAGGGTTCCCCACACAACCCGCAGAGAACAGCGCACCGTGGGCAGGGACCGTGGGGCTGGTCCTGAGTGCATGAGCTATACAGACCCCGTAACTGTCCCTCACTTCTACCCTCCTGACATGTGCGCATTAATGATCTCCGAAATGATTTGACACAAAGCAAAGCTCACACCTGGCCTGCATTTAGCAACGTGTCCTCTCTCAGGGCAGTTGCAACCCTGATGCTGAAACAAGAGCAGCAACTCTGTGCTTGATGGCCATAGGACCTTGCAGAGGGGTGCAGGATATCTCTCATCCGGTCTCTTCTCAGCTGGTCTGACCCAAAGCCCGTTGCAACCTCTGAGTGCATCTCCACTGACCGTGCACCAAGTTCCTAATGGGCCACGTTCAGCACAGGAGGCATCTTGCACTGGTGCTAAAGTAAGGCTGGGACAAACCATGCGATAGATCAGGGCAGGACCCCCAGGGAGGCCACAAGCTGATTGTGTTGTGCTTTTATATCGGTGCTTAAGTATGACTGGTTTCTTATGCAGATTGGGGGCTATTTTCCCTGGGCCAGTTTTCCAGGGAGAGCCCCTGGGATACCTCAATCCTCTGTGCCAGAAGCCACAGGCAAAGGTCCTGCTGATGACTACAGGGATTTGGCTCATGAACTGCCCCAGACTGATACTGGGCTGTGCCACCCTTGGAGATTGAAAGTAGCCTCCGTGGCTGCCATGGACTGGATGCCTGGGAGGGGTCACCGCCAGCACCCAGGCCGGGAGGTAGGCAAAGGTGTTGAATCTGCACATGTGAATGTTAAGTGACTTTGTGTGGAATCTGCTCGTGCCAATATGTGTATAGCTTTCCTTTATGTTTCCAAGATATTCTGTGCCTGCCACTCGTGCCCACGTTTAATTGTCATTTATTTGTGAACGCCTCGGACAAACGTAACATAGGCAGCCACAGGCACCTGCCCAGGGGCCTGCTATCAGATAGCATGTTATTAAGATGCAGCTGTTTCTCCGTCCCCCTTCACCCAGCAAGATTTCTTTGTAAAAGACGATGAGCTCCGAGCTAACAGCAGCTCCCAGCTGAAGCCCTAAGCAAGGAGATCCCCGCTGCACAGGGGTCCAGAGCTGAGGGATGCACCCCAGGGAGCAGGTCATGACAAATCAAGTCCTGAGCCATTGGCAGCAGCGGGAGGGATGCACTGGAGCAACCTGTGTCCTTAGAGCATCTCTGAGCCCGCAGGGCTGTGTCCCCTCCCGAGACACTAAGGGGGCTTGGCTCTGATTGCCAGAAGCAGCGACTGGAGCGGTCTTGGGAGGCTCAGAGCTGACGGTACCACTATGCAGAGGACCCACATTCACGCACAGCACAAAGAGCTGGGGTCTCAAACAGGCTGAACACCCACAGCTCCCGGTAATATCATTTACCTTCGGAGTACTCAGCACCTCTGAAAACCAAGTAGGCAGGCAAGTGCTGAGATACGGCAGGGGCCCGAGCATGCTAATGTAGGCTCCGTTTCATCCTCCTGGTTTGAAACTAGGCCCAGGACCAGCCCTGGGCAGTTGCTGCCACCACTTCTTGCAGCCCCTGCTCTGTCTTGCGAAGGCCCCCTCGTAAGCACACAGCTTTGCACATGGAAGGCAGAGGGGTTTGTGCAAGAGTCCAGGTAGGAGCATCAGCAACCTGCAGCGTACACACCCACCCTCTGGGTACCAGAATCTGACACGTCCCCGAACCAGTGTGAAATGGCTGCATCCGATCTCTTCTCTTGCAGTACACAAGAAAGACTGGCACAGGTTCTGCTTTCCAAGTACTCTCTTTAGAGTCAGGATACAGCACCACGGCCTGCCAGCGAATGTAACATCACCTCTTACAGAAGAGCCAAGTCCCCGGGGAGGTAAAAATATACTCCTGGTGCCTGTGAGAACTCAGGCTGGGCAGTACAACAGTGATGTTTGCATGAGCTCATGCTTTAAATATATCTTAAGCTCTTTCTCTCAAAGCTACATGCACCAGTCATTAATGACAATTCACGCATGTCAATCATGGTCAGGAAGCCCCAATTAAAAAGACGGTTTGTCTCATTTTGGATGTACCCTGTACCATGCCTTTTCTCAAAAACCTGCTGTCATGACTAGGGATATCTGCTGCCATAAGTGTGGTACTAGACTAATTAGATGTTTGCTTAATGTGAATATAACATGGTTTAATAGCTTCAAGCCAGGCTATGTAGAACGCACCGGGCAAGAGCATGAATTCCAGCCTGCCTGAATAAATCTGATCGTTAAAGCAAAGTATTCCCTGAGGTTTGTCTACCAAGCAGAAGCCATCCTGGAGAAGGCACGAAGCCCAGCACTGCCTCAAGAAGAGTTAATGTAACAAATCACACCATGTAAAAGGCCTTTCGGAAATATGCTGTCAGGCCTTTTTCACCAACAACATTCAAGCTCTTTTGCTTTCCCAGTATATCTAATACATTTCGGCTCTCCTCAACTGTTTACATTCTTAAACCCAACTTGGCAAAAGCTCACCCAGCTGCATAACATAATTCATGTGAAGCCGTTCCATGCCAGGAGCCTTTGTGGGAGCCAAGTGTCACACACGGATCAATCTCTGCTGGTTCCCACCGGACCCTGGAGTGCCGTGGTCCTGCACCCAGGACGCTCCTGGCCTGCCAGACCAGAGTCCCACTTGCAAATCCAGGGCAAGGCATGGCAGGATAAATAACCCGGCTGCATGCAGAGATAGCTGTCTGTGCTCTAGGGATCACCTCTGGCACTGCAAAACCCCACCGGGGCAGCTCCAAATGGCTGCGTCAGCTGAATAGCTGACCACAGGATAAACTCAAACATCAGAACTGCCTGATCCAGGACCCCCGCCGCAGGTCAGGCCAGCTAGCTTGAGCAGGAGGCACCTGGAGACTGCTGCGTGTGAAGAGGAAGCAGGTGAGGGCCAACGCTCTGCTCGTACCTTGAACTCACACCCCAGGGAAGACAGCCCTGGAGAACCATTCATCCGAGACACCCTGTCCTGTGCATTTAAGACAATTTGGGTGCTGGTTGAGGAGAGGGTCACACTGGAGAACTGATTATCCACAGCTTTTGTTTATTTTAATTTAAAGACTGACTTGCCCATTGATGGGGGCAGGTGGGGTCATGTGAGAGGCGCACACCCCATGCAGCCCTGAAAGTCAATGGGTGCCTCCGTGCAGAGCAACTTGTAGTTCTGGGTGTGGGACCTCACTGGAGAATAAGATCCACAGACCAGAGTTAGAGACACTCACCGCATGAGGCGGCAAATGCCTTATTTGCACAGTCCAGATGCTCCGGGAGGCTAAGCGCAGCCATGTCAAGACATTCATCATTACTACCATGGCCCCAGATTGTAGCTCCAACCTGGGACAGGGAATGCAAGCTGCAGCTGGGGGGAGAAGCTTCGGGTCCGTCGAATGTGTACACAGCGAGAAGGCAGGTGCTTTCCCTTCCCCAGGGTGCACGTTCACACATCTGAGGCTTTGTGCACACGATCCATTCCTCCCGGTCGCACCCAGGGTCATGGTTGGTGCTGACTGTAGGCCAGTGTGAACAAGGAGCAATACAATATCCCCTTCAAGTCATCCCAGAAAGCGAGTAGCTGCCTGCTGCCTGGCAGGCTCCATGCCCGGGGCACAGAAGCGGAGGCCGGGGAGCTTTCTTGTAGTTCAGTCTCCTGCAAAGTCGGTGGAAAAACATACGGAAGGAGGAGGTGCGAAAGATGATGAACACCCAGGGGTCCACGATGGAGTTCACCGACATGAACCGCAGGGCGGTGAGGTCCGCTTTCTCGTTGAAGTCAGGAGCAAAGGCCCCGATGTAGGCACGCACCTGTGATGAAGAACCAGGAAAGCGATCGTGTTAGCAAAGCTAGGCGCCAAGTTCTGGGTTCTCCAGTCCTCCCAGGTAGCTTTCACCCCAGGGTCAGACTTCATTATCAGCTGGGTTGGGAGGGACCTCAGGAGATCACATCTAATCCAACCCCCTGCTCAAAGCAGGACCAGCCCCAACTACATCATCCCAGCCAGGACTTTGTCTAACCTGGTCTTCAAAACCTTCAAGGATGGAGAGTTCATAACCTCTCTGGGTAACCTCTTCCAGTGTTTTCCTACCCTCCACATGAGAAAGTTCTTCCTAATATCCAGCCTCAACTTCCCTTTCTGCAACTTGAGCCCATTGCTCCTTGTCCTGACATCTGTCCTCACTGAGAACAGCCCAGCTTTGTCCTGACACCAACAGCACGCTCCACTCTAACCCGCCCCATGGACCCAAGGGTAAGCAATCTGCCCCTGAGCAATGAAATAACAGTTTCCCTGGATGCAACTCTGCTTCAGACGGATGCAACTCCAGCTCAAGAGTGCTGGCGAGTTCATACCAGCCACACCTCGCGCCCCGTTCATTTTTGTGGTTCCTCTGCAGACAAGCTCAATAGCCGGTGTTGTGCTGAGCCTAACTCTGATCTCTGCTGGATGGGCATAGACCGCGAGCGGCTCCGCTGAAGTCACCGTGGAGCTGGACTGGGGCAGCATCAAGAATGGGCTTGATATTTTGGCTACGAACAAACTTTCTCTCAATCGCTGCGGCAGGTCTAAGCAACCTCTCTGCTCCCTGATCATGGCATCACCAGGGAACTACACAGCCCCTCTAAGCTTTAAGGCAAGACCCCAGTGAGCCCAGCCAGCCCGGTCCCATACAGACAGCTCCACCGACAGAGGGTCAGGCAGGGGCCTGGGGCCTTGTCCCCACCTCTGGCGTGGGCTCTCTCTGGAGGGAGGGGAGCGGATGAGCTCTGCAGGCTTCAGGCCACCCCAGCACTTCCCCGTGTCCCAGGAATCCCCTGCAGCACAGTCCAAAGCGACTGCAGCAGGGAGCGGGGAGGGCCTGGGCTTCACCTTCCCATAGCTCAGGGGATTAACAGTGCGGCCAAGCCCATTTGCAGCAACCCCCGGTAAGAGCAGCATCCACCTACCCGCAGAATCCTCCTGTGTATCCAGACCACACTCCCTGTAACAGCAGCAGCCTCTTAGGAGCAACATAGCTCCAAGACACTGGCACGTTGCTACTAAAAGACACTGACTGCACTGGCTCTGCTTTGCAACGAAACAGCTCCTTGACTTACTGGCCCTTGGGCCTGATGCTCATTCTCTTTCCACTGGTGTAACTCTGCTTACACCACAAGACTCATTCTAGATCTCCTCCGGGAGGAGGAGAGACGCAGGCCCCGCTCATGCAAAAGATGGCTTGAAGAGACTATATACAAGCAGCGGGTTAGTTTCCGGACAACCCAAAGGACCCCTGGAAGCTGCGAACTGCGTAGCCTGCATTCAAGCGCGCTGCGAGAAGAGCCCTTCTGTCTACAGCAGCGGTGCTCAACCACGGTGGCGTGGCACAGAGATCCTCTCAGGGGTGCCACGCACAATGCTAGCGCTGTGAGGTGCGCAAACAGGATAAACCCAGAGATGTCAAACAGGAGTCCACAGTGTTGAAACCATTCTGCCCTGCGGCAGTCTCTGAGGTCTTTGCAGCAGCAGAATTGCTCCGTTACTTTCTGTAGTCAGGAAATGAGTGAAAACTAAGAGCTGGCATTTTCCAAAGGGTGCCTTCACGTCTAAAAACATGAAGAACTACTGGATTAAAACAATCACCTAAGAGGTGGGAGGGCATCAACTTAGGTCTCTTCTATCTCCAGTGACTGCCCTAATTACTGAGCTATACAGTCTCTCTTTCCCTTTCTCTCTTGTTTTTCCCCTTCGCTGCATCCCGCCTCCAACAGAACTTGAATAAACTACCCCAAATACCTTGCTGGCTCAA